GCGGATCGCAGCAACGCAATCGTGAGTCGTCCCACTGTCGTGGGCAGCCGAGCAAGCCGGAAGAGAAACGCGGCCGCCGGCCAACTAAGACCACTCAAACTGACCGGCAACACACACTTGCTGTGGTAGCTAGAAACAAAGCAGGCACTGAAAACGCATCCAAACATGCAGATATCTGCATTTGAAAGTACCTGCAGCAGCCTGAAACAGACTGGTGCTGGTACTGTACAACAGTCGGACTGCAACAAAATTCACAGCAAACTGGAACTGGAACAGCTCCGGAAGGGCTTTCCAAAGCTCCGGAAACGCAAAGAAGCACATCGGCAACCAGAGCCACTTGTCGCAAAAAGGTTAACCTTTTGAATTACAATAGGTTTATATAAGCCCCGAAAGGTTAAAGGTTACCTACTCAGCCCCTAAGACGAGGATTAGACGGGGATCCTACTGCTAAGGCCCTGAGGGGAAGGTGGTCGACGTGAGCTACCCCTGAAGCCTAAACCCTAAACCTGAGCCCTAAACCGTCTACAAGCCCGGGACCCCTAACTGGACCGTTTAATACCTTTCAGTTCCCATGCAAGAACGGTTCTGGGAAACCCTAACCAAACACAGAAAATTCAAACCCCAAACCCTAAACCCCATACCCTAAACCCTAAACCCCATAACCTAAAACCTTCTGCGGACTAAAAGGGGATACCGGGGATACCCGTATCTCTTGTTCAAATTTCCTTGGTTTGAGGGCTCAGAGCGCCGGCGGATGCGAGCGTCTGCTGCGTCATCGAACTAACCGGCCCTCGATCGGGCCACTTCAGGGTATTCCCCGGTGTGTGCGAATTTGAGGCTTACAGCAAACGATCGGACTTGACTTTGGATGTGATACGGGTGATACCCTGATACTGCACGGAGACAGTGGGGAGTGGGGAGCCAAGCTTTCAAGTCTCGTTCCCACTATGGTCCCGGCAGGAAAGGTGTCCAAATCATGGTCTGCGTTGACCATAGCCATAGCCGAAGCTAGTTTGCTTTCTGGAGCCAACCAAGGAAACAATGAACTCAAAGCAAGAAGGCAGGACTCCCCGGACAGGCGACCTGGGGGAGTCCTCACCCTGCACATCGAACAAGCTACCTTCGACCTCCATCTGCCGGATGAGCGAAATGTCTTCTGCCAGGGCTTCCGGATCTGAATGGATCAAAACCGCCAAGCCGGTGACAGTGAAATTGTCTATGGTTTTCTGTACACGGTCCC